CCGCTTCGGACTTTTAGGCTTCCTTTAGCTGAATGTATAACTTAAGCTCAGTGGTATAAAGAATTTTATATTATTAGGACCTGTTCTTCATGTAGAATCTGTCTTGTAATGGAATAATAAATCTTATCCTTCATTTCCTTAGTAGTTTTACTGAATCAGAAAAATAAACAAAACAGTTTTCAAGAGTGTGGGGATCTAAATTACAACTACCCTAAGAGAATCTGTCCTAATTTCTCTATCTAAACCTAACAAACCTATACAATCTCCATAGTAATGGACTACTTTTCGTGACATGGGAAAACAAGTATGTTACAAGAAAGAATTGCACTCTAATGTAAGCGGGGGGTTAGAGCTTTGTACATGTTTTTCATGGTACAGTGGGACTCTTCTTGCTTTACAATCCCTTTAGCATCTGCTCTGCTGCTGAAAAAATCATGCAATGAATGACAAAAACTGCAACTGACATAACCTGGTATACTATGTTCAGAATGATGCTGGGAGGGACAGATCATTCATCTTGATAGATTAAGCTCAGAACCAGTGCTGCTCAGAGAATGATCTATAACCACACCATGCTTAAACATTTGGCCTGTCTGAAATCTACTGTTGAAAAAGCTGTCTGACCATAATCATTGTATTTTGCATCGCGCAGTCCAGATATACATTGTGAAGCATTATGTTTAGTCCACTGTCTGCAACTGCAAGCGTTCAGGACTTGCTCTTTTCCTCATTCACATCACCTTTAAAGTCTTACCAGAGCGACAACAAGAGAAGCAGGAGGCACCCGAGCAGGTCTCAAAAGCAGCATTTGCCGCCTTTCAACAAAAAATATTGCGGCAGATGTTGCTGCAAGCAAGAAGCTTATTCCTTTGCAGGAATAGAAAGAAATCAATCCTCAGCCACCTCAGTCTTCTTCCTAGGGTTAGTTCCCTTAGCCTTCTGCATTTCAGCATCCTTCTCAGCTTTCTTCTTGTCCAATTCAGCCTGCTTCAAATTCTCTTCATGTGCTTTTCGAAACATTTTCACAAAATTTAAGAGAGTTGTGGTAACTGCAGTGTTCAATACAACATTAGGCATTATCAATTCAGCTTTGGAATTGCCACATGAAACAAAGAAATTATTCAAGATGTTAACTATATTTAATGAATATAACTAGTAAAGCATCTTAATTACGATATTATTAGAAAATCATATTTCCTATCTTCTTTCTTGTCTGCTTAACCTTTTT